GTCCCTCTCTCTCTTTCTCCCGATATATCCCATCCATTCGCTTTCCCTTCCCTGTCTCTTTCTCTTTTTCTTTGTCCTTCTGCCCCCTTCTCGTCTTGTATTTCTTAATCTCCCTTTGTTACTTAATCAGTTTTTCTCTTTGTCTCTCCTACGGTTCTCCTTTTTCCCCTTCTCACATTTTCCTTTCCACTCTCGCTTTTTTCTCCCCATCCCGTGTCTCCCACATTCACTTTCCCTCTCCGTCTTTCGCTTTCTTTAGAACTTTCAGTCTTGTTTTCCACTCCTCTCTCTTTCCTTTCTTCGTTCTTGCCTGCTCTTTCTGTCTGTGTTTCACTTTCTTTCTCTTTCTTTCTCTTTTTTTGTCTTTTTTTTCTCTTTTCTCTCTCTCTCTCTCTCTCTCTCTCTCTCTCTCTCTCTCTCTCTCTCTCTCTCTCTCTCTCTCTCTCTCTCTCTCTCTCTCTTTCTTTCTCTTTTTTTGTCTTTTTTTCTCTTTTCTCTCTCTCTCTCTCTCTCTCTCTCTCTCTCTCTCTCTCTCTCTCTCTCTCTCTCTCTCTCTCTCTCTCTCTCTCTCTCTCTCTCTCTCTCTCTCTCTCTCTCTCTCTCTCTCTCTCTCTCTCTCTCTCTCTCTCTCTCTCTCTCTCTCTCTCTCTCTCTCTCTCTCTCTCTCTCTCTCTCTCTCTCTCTCTCTCTCTCTCTCTCTCTCTCTCTCTCTCTCTCTCTCTCTCTCTCTCTCTCTCTCTCTCTCTCTCTCTCTCGTTCTCTTTCTCACTTTCTCTCCCTCCTTCCTTCTTTTTCTCCTTCTCCCCCCTCATCCCTCTCCCTAAACACTCTCCTTCTCCCTTTCTTCCCTCTCCTTATTCTCCCTCTCCATCTTCTTCTCCCTCTCTTTCCCCCTTTCCTTCTTCTCTCTCTCCTTCTCCCTTTCCTTCTCTCTCACCCTTAACCACTCCCTCTTTCTCCCTCTTCTTCACTATCTTCTTCATCTCTCTCTCATCTCCACCCAACCCTACCCACCGCTGCCAAGACGCCCCTCACTTCCACTTTCATCACGAGGACAAACGAGTGATTAAAAAAGATCTATAAAAAATAAAAATAAAAGAGTTACCCCCTCTCTCGGTTATTTATAGAAAACGCCGAACGTATTTAGAGCAGGTGTTTTAATGCGTGAATCATCGAGAGTGGGCTGGGGGGAGGGGGGGGTTGTTCTGTGTACCTTTGATCGCCTGGTTTGTTAGTGTGGATATGTAGGAGGGGGGGGGGGGGGAAGGGATGTGGGAGTTTGTTTGCGCGTGGCTGTATGCGAGGTTTAGACTATGTGGGTGGTTTCTTGTTTCGTTGTTGTTATTGTTGTTGTTGTTACGTTTTATCTTATGCGTGTGGATGTATTTATGAGAGAGCTGATGATTTATGCACATACCTGTGTACACTCACACACACACACACACAGACTTACGCTTACATTTATTGTCTCTATCACTCTCACTTTCACTGTAACTCTCTCTCTCTCTCTCTCTCTCTCTCTCTCTCTCTCTCTCTCTCTCTCTCTCTCTCTCTCTCTCTCTCTCTCTCTCTCTCTCTCTTCTCTCTCTCTCTCTCTCTCTCTCTCTCTCTCTCATATATACTGTAATTTCACTTATCATTCATAACTATTTTATTATTCATTTGATTATTCATGAAATTTTCCACGAGAATTGAACTTTTATTATTTTTTTAGTATTCTTTTATAAGGCTTTAGTGCTACGCCATTTATGATTACTAGAGTTTGTCGAACAATAAAGTAATTATAATTTACGGTATTCAAAAGCAGGATTTAAAATAGGAGCGAGTATTTGAAATGTGGCGGGCCGTATCCGTAGAGTTTGTAATTGGCTACCGCTCGCATAAATGGAGATCTTGGCTGCCCTTTGTGTGACAGTGAATTGGGAATTTGTCTGTCTTTGTCTGTTTCTGTTTTTGTTTTTATTTTAGTCTTTTATTCTGTCTTTCTCTCTATCTCTGTCTATCTGTCTGTCTGCCTGTCTGTTTGTCTGTTTATCTGTTTGTCTGCTAGTCTGCTTGTCTACTTGTCTACTTGTTTGCTTGTCTGTCTGTCTGTCTGTCTTTCTCCCTGTCTCCCTGTCTCCCTGTCTCCCTCTCCCTCTCCCCCCCCCCTTCTCTCTCTCTCTCTCTCTCTCTCTCTCTCTCTCTCTCTCTCTCTCTCTCTCTCTCTCTCTCTCCCCTCTCCCTCTCTCTCCCTCCCTCCCTCCCTCCCTCCCTCCCTCCCTCCCTCCCTCTCTCCCTCCCTCTCTCCCTCCCTCTCTCCCTCCCTCCCTCCCTCCCTCCCTCCCTCCCTCCCTCTCCCCCATGTGCCTTCCTCTCGTATGCCAACCTTCTCTCCCTCCCGCCTCCCTCTGTCCATAACGTCGCCGCAGGGTACTGATGCAAGTCGTTTTTCACCCTTGATGACATCCTGTTTATTCAGCGTTGGTGTTGCATCCTCTTATCTTGATGCTGTGCGCTTATGTCTCTCTTAAGAAGACGGTTTCTAAAGCTTCCAGTATATATTATGCGCTTAAGCGTGCTTTCGTCAGTGTTCAAGCACACCTGTGTACGATTATAGCTTAATTATATACATATTGCGGACGTGTTTCATTCTCAGACGTTAGCCTTACTCTCGCTCTCGAAACCTCCCGCTGTATTTCTTCCTCATACTGTTAGTTGGTCGGTTTATTTACTTTTCCAGATGTATATTTGTACGTATATCTATCTGTCTGTATCTGTCTATGTCTATTTATCTGTTTGTCTCTCTGTCTGTCTATCTATTTACCTGCCTACCTAGCTACCTACATACTTACCTGGAGTTTATCTATCCATTTATCTATCTATCTATCTATCTATCTATCTATCTATCTATCTATCTATCTATCAATATATCTATCTATATACATATTCATATATAATTATATATATATATATATATATATATATATATATATATATATATATATATATATATATATATATATATATATATATATACATGTGCATATATATACACATATATATATGTATACATATATACATATATTTCATTATTGTTCGAATTCTATTTCCGAAAACATTCCATTGCAAAGCCTGCCTTCTCTTCTCCGCGTCAGGTGGCGGCGGACAGCAGGCGGTGTGTGGGCGGGGGAAGCTGACGACGCCCAAGTAGTGGAATAACAGCAACAGCATCGGCGGCAGCGCCAGTAACAGCAGTAGCAGGTGTGGCAGCAGGACAAGTGACTGACGGCGCAGCAGTCATGGAGTCAGTCAAGGTTGTGACGCCCCACAAACTGTCCGTCATGGTCAGAAGCAGGGCCGACAAGGTTGGTGTTCAGGAGGGTGGCATGCTGCGTACACCTGTGAACAAGCAAACAAACAAACGAACAGACGAACACGCACGCACACATGCACGCACTATATTTACAAGCACACAAACAAACACACACATTCACACAAACAGACATACACACACGCGCGTATGCACATGCACACTCACACCCACACACATATATTTGTATATTTATCAAAATTTTAAATCTTTTTTTTTTTGTTTTTGAGTTTAAATATCTCCATCTTTACACACATGACCATACTAATGACCCCCCCTCCCCCCCACAGGCCCTCATCATCGACAGCCGCACCTTCTGTGAGTTCAACACCTCGCATATTCTCAACTCTATCAACGTGTGGTCTTCAAAGATAAGGAAAAAGAGACTGCAACAAGATTCAGTACGTTGCTGGATAAGGGAGAGAGGGAGAGAGAGAGAGGGAGAGGGGGAGTGGGTGTGGGAGAGGGAGTGGGAGAGAGGGAGAGGGGGGAGGGAGAGAGGGAATGGGAGAGGGTGTGGGTGTGGGAGTGGGAGAGGGAGAGGGAGAGAGAGTGGGAGTGGGAGAGGGAGTGAGAGTGGGTATGGGAGATGGAATGGGAGAGAGAGCAAAAAAAAGAGAGAAAGAGAGAGAAGGAGAGGGAGGGAGAAAGGGAGAGAGGGAGGGAGAGGGATAGAATATTTGAAAATGATGTAAAGAGTGATAAATGGATAGCATATTGAAAAAAATGAGTAGTATATTGATAATAATGAATAGAGGGATTAACAAATAATGTATTGAGATTAATGAACAGAGAGAGACATGGATAACAAGTTAAGAGATAATTGATAGTGATATCAGTGGTGGTAATAGTGATGATAGTAGTGGTAATGAATGGTAATAATGGGAGTAGTAGTAGTAGTTTTTCTTATCGGAGTAGTAGTAGTAGTAGTAGTGATAGTAATTTTAGTAGCAGTAATAGTAGTGATAGTAGTTGTAGTAGTAATATTAGTAGCAGCAGTAGTAGTAGTAGTGTTAGTGATAGTAATTATAGTAGTAGTAATAGGAGTAGTAGTAGTAGTAGTTATAGCAGTAGTAGCAGCAGCAGCAGCAGTAGTAGTAGTAGTAGTAGTAGTAGTAGTAGTAGTAGTAGTAGTAGTAGTAGTAGTAATAGTAGTAGTAGTAGTAGTAGTAGTAATAGTTGTAGAAGTAATAGTAGTAGTAGTAGTACTAGTACTAGTAATAGCAGCAGTAGTAGTAGCAGTAGTAGCGGCTGTAGCAATAGTAAAAGTAAAAACAATCGTAGCAATAGCAGAAGCATTATCAGTAACAATAACAGAAGCACCATTATAAGCAGCATCAGCATTAGCAATACTAATACCAATTCCAACCATTCCAGATCTCAGTGCACGACTACCTACAGCAGGCGTGCCACGTCTCCGGCCTGCACGACGGTCTGGACATCATCGTCTACGACCAGAACGCCCCTTCGCTCTCCGCCGTTCCCCAGGATTCGTTTCTGCACGTTCTTCTTAACAAACTCGGTCGCGCCTTCCCTTCTGTTTACCTCCTGGCTGGTGCGTGGCGGTGTTCGGGGTTGTTAGGAGGTTATTTAAGAAAGAGGGTGGGTGGGGGGAGTTTTTTTTTTTTTTTTTTTTTTTGAAGGTGGGTAGAGATGGGGAATTTGTATTTGTAGGAGGGGAGGGGAGGGGGGGAGGTTTATTTTTTCTAAGGTGGGTAGAGGGTGGGAATTTGTATGAGCATTAAAAAAAAAAAAAAAAAAAAAAAAAAAAAAAAAACATTGTGTATCGTGTTTGAAGGATTATTTAGTATTTTGTGCTCTTCATGTATTTTTTTCAACTTAATTTCAAGAATTTAGAAAGAAAAATAAAGTAAGATATAATCAGACACCTTCTCTTGCATTGCAATAATACTCATCTCAAAAAAAAAAAAAAAAAATCTTGCACATTACCGCCCTCGCCTGTTTTTATCCCATCTTTAAAATAAATATGTTTTTCCCATTTAAAAAATAAAATAGATAATGTAGAAAAGGTATGAATGAGAATGAATATCTTCACATTACAAGAGATGTATTTCTTGTATTATTTATAATAAATAAACAAAATCTATCCACACCATTATCTCTATCTCCATTCCTCCATTTCTCTCATTTTTTAAACTTCTCTCTCTCTCTCTCTCCCTTTTTCCTCCAGGCGGGTTCCTAGAGTTCCAGGCGAGATTCCCGGAGCTGTGTGAGGACTCCAGCAAGAAGTGCACGCCCCTCACCACCCAGTCTCAGCCGTGCCTCCCCGTCTCCAACGTAGGACCTACTCGCATCCTGCCCTTTCTCTATCTCGGATCTCAACACGACGCTAACAACAAACAACTCCTTTCTGTGAGTAGATTGTCTGGTCCTTCATCATTCATGCTTCTTGTACAAGAGGTTCTGCGGGTTCTTGTACAGGGTGTTTGTACAAGGCTTGGCGTGACTCTTGTATATGTCCTTTCGTCTCTCTTTCTTACATAATTTTTTTTTTGTTTTTGCTTGTTTTCTTTCTCTCTTTCAAATGAAACCTTAACCGGCAAGGAGACGACCCTTTGAAGCGACACTCAAAAAGATTTTTAAGTTTATGCGGAAATTTACATGTGATTTTTTTGTCGTTTTCTTTTTTTCATTTCAGTGAAAAATTATATTTAATTCGTATTAGATTTTTGTTGGTTATGTGAAATTACCAGAGAAATAGACACTGAAAATGGAAGAGGGAAAGAAACGGAAAATGTCAGGAAAATGTGTCTAAAGGAAAACGAAATTAATGTGAAGTAGAGGAGGGGAGGAGAGGAGAGGAGAGGAGAGGAGAGGAGAGGAGAGGAGAGGAGAGGAGAGGAGAGGAGAGGAGAGGAGAGGAGAGGAGAGGAGAGGAGAGGAGAGGAGAGGAGAGGAGAGGAGAGGAGAGGAGAGGAGAGGAGAGGAGAGGAGGGGAGAGGAGAGGAGAGGACAGGAGAGGACAGGAGAGGTGAGGAAAGGAGGGGAGAGGAGAGGAGAGGAGAGAATAGGAGAAGAAAAGAGAAGAGGAGAGGTGAGGAGAATAGAAGAGAGACGAGATGAGTGGAGAGGGAGGGTGAGGACAGGAGAGGAGAGAAGAGCGAGAGTAAGGAAAAGGTTAGGGAGAGGGAGAGGGAAAGGGAGATGGAGAAGGAGGGGAAGAGTGATAGTAAGGGAAAGAGAGAGAGAAAGAGAGAGATAACTAGAGAGGGAAATAAGAATCCAAGAGAGTGAGTTCGTGCACGCCACTTCCCTACGCACCGCAACCCACACAGCTCAAGAGTACACGGCCTGCATCTCGTTCCCCGAGTTCATCTCCGCGGATAATCTCAGCCGATGCCGCTGCCCTCCGCGTCCGGACGGCGACGAAGACGGCGGCGGCGGCGGCGGTAGCGGTGGCGGCTGCGGCGGTTATGGCGGCCAGGTGCGGGAGTGTGAAAGTCCGTGATGTATTCCGCGGTAAATCAACACCGCCGCGACACAGGATCGGTGTGAGTGGCCGGAGAGAGACAATCCAACGCAGGAACGTATTTATAAATAGCTTTTCTCTCGGTGGTGGGAAGGAAAGGGGAGGGGAGGGGGAGGGAGGGGAGGAGGAGGGGTGATGGGAAGGGGAGAGGAGAGAGGAGGGAGGAAGAGGAGAGGAAGAGGGAGGGAGAGTGATGGAATGGGGATGGGGGTAATGGGGGGGGTGGGAGAGAGAGAGAGGAAGAGTGAGCAAGAAGAGAGAGAGAGGGGGCTAGGCTAAAATGTATTTATAATTTCCGAAGGGTATTTATAACTCGAATATTACATCGTCGTGTGATAGAGGGCGCCTGAAAATATTCCCGAACAGTATATAAGGACAGGTGCATTGGCAGCTGTGCGCAGGTGACTCACACAAGCGATACACCTGTGCGCTGAATCATCTCTGACCCAAAACTACGCTGTGGATTTGAAAGGAAAACTTTATTTGTAAAACTTTAATGCTTTTGAAAAAAAAAATCTTCACTTTTTTTCTTTCGTATGAAGTATTTATTGAAGATTAATGAAAAAAATAAAAAGAATTTTGATCTGTATTTTTTTTGCACGGTTTCTTTACCATATTTAAAAAAACTATTGGATTTTTTTTAACTACGCTTACCATT